GGGACATAGATAGAATTAGAATATGACATTGTTTATGATTTATTAAAGTATATATTTTGGAAAATTCAATTTTTATTCTTTGTAATTTTATTTTCTATTTGGATTAAGGACATGAATGTGAATTCTCTACTCACATGATTATTGGAATTTTCGTTTCATTTTTAAATATTTTTTTACCCAATAAGATATTTCTTTTTATTATTATCATATATATATATATATACATATATATATATATATATATTATTTTCTTAAATAAGATATCATATATTTGAGTTTTGTACAAGAAGGAAAATCTTTCTGATGATAGCGAATTTTTTATTATTTAAACATAAAAAAAATACTACTTCTCAATCTTTACATTTAAATATAAAATATTTTTCTTTAAAATTAAAATCTATTCAAACATTAAAGAAAATTACTTCTATCTTTACATTTAAATCATGTTTTTATTTAATCAAATTTAAATATATAAAAAAAACTCCTTGAAACCAGACATTTACGCGACATCTATAATTAGCATACAATATTTATTTTTCTTTCCATTTTTAACAAGAATAAAAAAGTTAAATAAAAAACGTTTTCAATGTAACAAGCAGCGAAAATAAAAAATAAATGTTAAATTACTCTTTAAATTATCATAACTTAACTTAATTATAAATAAGTATCTATAGTTTTAAAATTTTAATGAAATGTTCTAAAAAAATTATGTCTTGATGATCACAAGCCAATGGATTTTTAGATTTCTTTAGTATATATTTAATTTGTTAAAAAAAATAAAGTAAAATACTTTTCTAACATGTAGTTTCTGAAAATGACTATGGGACGAGACATATTAAAGGAAGAAAAGGATGAAGTATATGCATAAGTACACAAATTTACTATTGAATAAATCATAGGGCAAAATTTTGTCCTTCACACAAATTCTTTCAAAAGTAAAAACTTGTTGGAACCATACAATATTTTTTTATTTAAGAAAATTAAAAATAATATATTTTTTTCATGTGTAGTTTCCAAAATGACTACAATTTAAAGGATGGAGTATATGATAACTATACAAATTCACTATTGAATAAACCATGCGGCAAAATTTTGTCCTACACTCAAAATTATTCAAAAGTAAAAACTTGTTGTAACCATATAATATTTTTTATCTAAAAAAAAATTGTAACACCGTAAATTTTGTTAGTAATTGTTGATTTTATTAATTTAATTAATATTGTAATTAATTGTTTATAGTTGTAAAATTTTAAGAATTAGAGAATTTTTATGAGTATAGTTTTTTAGGAGTTGTTTTGAGTCAAAGTTAAAAGTGACCAAGTTTTAGGAAAGGTATATAAAGTTTTTCTTAAGATTTGAATTTTATAAGTTAATTTTTTAAGAAATCTAGAAAGATGAGATATGAATTCAAAATTTCTTCCTTCTTCTTATAAGTTCACAAGAGAGTTCTACGATCTTCCATTGAGTGATATTGAGTAATTGTGTAGAGATTCAAAGTCTTTAAAATTGAAAATCTAAGACTCAAAGTCATCATGCGAAATTCTTTGGGGATTTCGTTCTTCCTTCTTTTTACCTCTTTTCTGGACAATTTGAGGTAGGGAAAACTCTTGAATTTTTTTTGTTGAATGAATTGTTTAACTCTTGCTTGAATTATACATTATTTGTGGCTGTATTGATTGAATTTGAAGATGAAATTCTTTAAGTTTTGAGTTTGATGAGGTGAAATTTTCATATGGAAGAAAATGATGATCTTTGGCCCTTTCTATGGTTGCATGTTGTTTTTATTGATGAAAATAAATTGTAGTGATGTATGGATGTTATTTTGTGTGTTGCATGCTAGTTGTGGCTAATTTTTTGGTGGCTTGGAGCAAAACCATTATTCTGTCAAAGGGCAGAATTCACTATTGTATAAGGTGCAACTTTGTAGCATTAGCATGATGTAAGACAAAGACTCTCTATCTAATTTTTCACATAGAATGATATTTAAATAAATTTTTAATTAAATTAGTGGATGAATTTTTATCTTCAATATTATTAATTAATGAAGGCTATAAGTTAAATTATTGTTTAAACTTACGTGCATGGAAAATAATATGTGTGTTAAAGGCTGATATAATTTTAGATGTGTGAAGAAATGTTAATTAGGAACATTAAAATCAATTATTTATCAAAAGATAGAGATAATTATTTATCAAAATATAAAAAATTTATGCTAATTTTACTTTTCTTTATTATTTATATTTTATTTTTTTTAATTAAATATTATAATATTGCAAATATATATTTCCGTGTGAAATCCTTGAAAATCTTATAATATAAATGTATTAAAATTTGAATTATAAAATCTTAATTAAAATCTAAAATTTAAAAATCTTTTAAAAAAATCTTAAAATTTATAACATTACTATAAAGTTGGATAAAATTCATTAAATTTTACTTGATTTTTTCGCACTAAAATTATCTTTAAAATTCTTAATGCAATAATTGCCGTTAATTTGACATAAACGACAGAAGTTAAATCATAGAGTTGAATTTGACACTTTAAACTAAAATTATTCATACACAGATGCACTTATCAACGAGTAGAAAGTGCGTGTGCTTGGTTCAATTATTTAAGAGAAATAATTGCCTATTAGTTTAAACATTGAATATTTGCTTGAATAATTGCCTAGCATGTACTAACAAATTACTACAACTAGGATGGTACGTTGGTAGGCCAAAAATTGGTAGATTGGATTGGATAACTTATCTCATCGCTTCTCTTTAACATGTCGGCCTGTCCAATTGGGATACATTCACCGGGTGGTTCGCCTAATTATTAATTTATTATTATTATTATTATTATTATTATTTTAATATTAAGTATAATTAAATTATATAATATTTATTATATGATTAATTTATAATTTATTGTATAGTGTTATGTTATGTATTTAATTTATTTTATATTTATATTATTATACAGTAAATTCCATATTTGTTATATAATAAATCAAATTTTTTGTAATTTAAATTTTATTTTATTATTCAAGTACTCTAATTTATGTAGCTCATTTAAATGCTGAAAAATAAATATATTATAAGAGATATCTAAAAAAATACAAATTTTAATTTTTTTTTAAATTTTTTTTAGGCCATCAGACAAGACGAGACAAAACATCTAATTCAATTTTATTTGATAAATCAGTTAAATTCAATTCATTTTTAATAAATCTATAACATAATGAACCTAATCAAATCAAACTAATCTATTTTACCACTCTAACTATTGCTATATGTTGTTGACTTATTGTTGAGTAAATTATCATAAACAACAAATTCTGTCTCAAGTGCCTGATAGAATTAATTCATGTTAAATAAAAATTTATAAACTAAGTAATTAATTTAAGAATATGTCACAAAATTAATTTTTATAAACTAGTTGATGAATATAAATCGATATATTTAATTAACTAATTAATAATGAGACGTATACAATATGATTTATAAATTAGAAAAAAATAATTTGAAGGAATGTAGCGCTGACAGTAAATGCGCGAGTCTTGGTGCAGCAGTAGAAACTTTACGTAATCCATTATTTGAACGGAACTTGCAATCTGTAACTTGCAGGTTCGTTCGTTGAGGTTATAAGTTAGAACTTAGAATACAACACTCTCTCTCTCTCTAGAATCACGATCATGAAGTACACAAACATCAACACCAATTTTTGCGCTGCGTTGCTTTTTGTTCTCATATTCCATTAGCATCACTCTCTCAATTCCACTTTGCTTTCCCTTCTCCCACGCTTTCCAACCGACACCAAATGGCCGCCGCTTTTCTCTTCGCCGCCGCGCTTCTGGCGGCGGTCTCCGCCTCCCCGGTGACCCTCACGCTGGAAAGAGCTTTCCCTTCGGATCACGGGGTGGAGCTGAGTCAGCTCAGAGCGTGGGACAGCCTCAGACATCGTAGAATGTTGCAGTCTACTAACTACGTTGTCAATTTCCCTGTCAAAGGCACCTTCGATCCCTCACAAGTCGGGTAATTCTATCACCCCTTTTTTCAATTTTGCTTTTTTATCTACTTTTTCGATCAATTTCTCTCTTGGGTGTCATCCAATGAGTTATTTTGGTGTTTTAAATTGAAAAAAAAAAAAAAAAAAGATTGAGTGGTTTGGTTGTTCATGTGCCTCTCAATTATGAACTTTTTTTATGCTTTAATTTAAAAAAAGAGTTTTCTACTTTTCTTTGTAATTGTATAAAGTAGAAGAATGTATGGTTTTTGAATTTCTTTATGTTTGTTTTCCTTTGTGTTTTGTACTCTTGATTCAATTTTTTTTTTTTTTTTTTAAATTTGTGGTTTTTCCAGGCTTTACTTTACAAAGGTGAAATTGGGTACTCCTCCAAGGGAATTTTATGTGCAGATTGACACTGGCAGTGATGTTCTCTGGGTTAGTTGTGGGTCCTGCAATGGTTGTCCCCAGACAAGTGGCCTCCCAGTAAATTTGATTCCTTATTCCCTATTTATTAAATAGTTGATTCAGTACACAGTTAGTATAACAATAAGATAAAGGATACACTTTTGGGATTTGTGAGTGAGTAATTGAATATCATCATTGCTGGATTTGGTTGCAGATTCAGCTCAATTACTTTGACCCTGGGAGTTCATCAACATCTTCATTGATATCTTGTTCGGACCGAAGGTGTAGGAATGGAGTACAGTCCTCAGATGCAAGCTGTTCTGGTCAGAGCAACCAGTGCACTTACACATTCCAGTATGGAGATGGTAGTGGGACATCAGGTTATTATGTGTCGGACTTGATGCACTTTGCCAGTATCTTTGAGGGATCCTTGACAACAAATTCTTCGGCATCCGTAGTTTTTGGGTAAGCAATTATGGTTTGAGTCTGAAATAGCCGACCTCAACTAGTGGGATAAGACTTTTGTTGTTGTTGTTGTATCATGAATCTGAAATGGTTAAAAGTAGCATGTCTATGTTTTAGTGAACTCCCCTACCCCCTTTTTGTATTTAATAGTTTAAACATGAAAAGCATTGCCTTATAATGTGCTATGGAGCAGTTGTAGCAACCAGCAAACTGGGGACTTAACAAAGTCTGATAGAGCGGTTGACGGGATATTTGGATTTGGGCAACAAGGGTTGTCTGTCATCTCCCAGCTCTCATCGCAAGGAATAGCGCCAAGAGTGTTCTCACATTGCCTGAAAGGAGATAATAGTGGGGGTGGCGTATTGGTTCTTGGTGAGATTGTGGAGCCAAACATAGTTTTTAGTCCACTTGTTCCATCACAGTACGTTCATTAATTAGAGTATATGCTACATTTTAATTTCTTCATATCAATTATTTAGTCCACTTATTCTGTATGCATGCTGTTTTATAGCCTGGATTCTTTTGTAAATGCAACTTATATTAATGGATTTTGTGAAATTTTAAAATGATATTTATCCTTTGGATTATATATTTGAGTTGAATATTGAAATTTTTTCTGAAGTATTGACTTCTGTTGATTTTTTTGTATGAGATTGAAAAGGCAAATTGTTAAGCAGATGGAGCTTCTTGCCCTTATTCGTAGGAGCCTAATAAGACAAATAAATAAAATCTCAGTTTATAATATCTAGCACACCAGATAGGAATATGATTGTGAAAATGTTCACCTAAAGATAAGTATTTGGCACTTTGATGGTCTTTCGCTTTACCAATTTACAGCTGTAGAACTATGGGATGGATAGAATGTTTTCAATATTTGCAATGTACTTGGGTGCCTGCTCTTGGTAAGTTGCCTTGTGTAAGGTCAAGGAATTTTCATTAATGGGTTAGTGGTTGATCAAGTGATCCTATTTATTTTATATTGTGCTAATGGTTAAGCCTCAAAAACATTGAAATCAGCCATCAAAACCCAGAAGGAAAACATGTTCCATCATGAATCAGAGTCATTTACTTCTTGTTTAAGCTGGTGATACTCTTAAATTGATTTCTACTTGTATAAAGCCTAATCTTTACCTCAAGTCGGTGAAACTTGGTTTATTGATTTAAGCCTTGAATTATTGAATAGCTTGACAGCTAAACATCTAAGTCAACCTTCCTTCCAGTGGGTGCGTAGTTCTTAATTGGTGTCATTTGGTACAATAAGAGTTTTCTTTTTTACCAGGAATTTATAGATAAATAGTGATTCAGGCACAATTTTAGATTTACTATCTATTATATGGTTACATTTTTTTTTTCTCTTTTACCAACAATTTGCATTCGTTATGGCTTACTTAAATATTATGCAGAAGTTGAATAAGAATTTTTTAATTCAAACATATTACTACAAAAATTTATTTGTATTGAAATGGCTTTGAAAGAATGGTATTTATTTATAGACTAATTGCTTTCTTGGCAAATATTTCAGGCCCCATTACAATTTAAATCTTCAGAGCATCTCTGTTAATGGCCAAATTCTACCAATTGATCCTGCAGTTTTTGCTACATCAAACAACAGAGGTACCATTGTTGATTCCGGAACAACTTTGGCATACCTTGCAGAAGAGGCTTACAATCCCTTTGTCAATGCGGTGAGTTATGTTAGGTAACTTCTTTTCGTCCAATTGATAAATAAAGATAATGCGTTGATTCTTCATGTGTGATTGACAATAGTGACATTATTTTTTTCTTCTTAGGAAACTATCAATAAATAACAGCGAAATTATTGGTGATGCAGATTACAGCTGCTATTCCACAATCTGTACGCAGTGTTCTTTCCAGGGGAAATCAGTGTTACTTAATAACCACCTCCAGGTTAAGTTGAACTGTTCATTGATATTTTGTTGATTTCTGACATTCCTTTCATGTATGGATGCTAAATATAAAAGGTTTTGACACTATCTATCTCTTTCTGGCTATATTGTGTTTAGTAATGTTGACATTTTCCCGCAAGTAAGTCTGAACTTTGCTGGTGGTGCATCTCTGGTTTTAAGACCACAGGACTACCTTATGCCGCAGAATTATATTGTAAGTATTAAAACACTAATTTTATTTTATTCAATATCCTAGGATTAATGCATGGAATACATTATCTAAAAAAAAAATGTATTGAATACATGATTTACGAAGATATTAATAGTACATATATGATATATCCAAGGTTTGATGACTCTTTCAGACCCTATAGTTTCATTAAATTTATCTTCTAGTCCTTATAATTAAAAATATTATATTTTAGTCTCTATATATGCCAATTTTGTTTCCTTTTAGTCTCTATAGTTGCATAAAATTTTTCCTTTTAGTCCTTATAGAAATAGACACCAGTGACTAAAAAGGAAATAAAATTGGTATGTATAGGGACTAAAATAGAATGTTTTTAACCATAAAGACTAAAAGGTAAAGTTTATGAAACTATTGAGACTAAAAAGATAATTAAACCTATATCCAATCATTTGTTGTAGTATAGCAAAATTATCCTGCGCTAGCAACTTCTGTTAAGTTCTTTTTGTAGTTTTCTTATATTTGTTTGTCTTATTATTTTATGCCTTGCTAACTCCCTTCTGGATGCTCCATGAAAGGTAGGGTTTGAGAAGGAAATTGCTATGTCTCTTCTAATTCTCATTTCTACAACTGAACTTTTATCATTTATTTAGGACACATCTCAGAGCTACTTCCCTGTTCTTCTGGTCATTTTTTGGCTGCTGCTTTGACTAAATATCTGCCTTTATTTTTCATATACATCTTACTATTATTCTTTCTCTAATTTGCGTAATTCTACAGGGCGAGGGATCAGTTTGGTGTATTGGCTTTCAGAAAATCCCGGGTCAAAGTGTAACTATTCTAGGAGGTATAATGCTAGTTTGGAAACTTTAGGTCCTATATCCATGCTGTTTTTTGGACTTTGGTGATATATCAAAAGGATGCACGAAACAAGTTTTTCATGTGATTGAAGTTCAAATAGCAATAGTTGGATCTTAAAGCTTACATTTAGAAAGGAAATCCTTATATTGATTATTTTTTTTATACATGCCCACAAATAGTATATAATCAAATTATAATCCTTACATTCTTGCTGCTGTTGGGGCTTAAATTCTAGAACTTGTAGTGTGTGTATATTCTCAATCTGCCAGAATATCGACTCAAATATTGTTCTCGTTTATGATTGGGTAACTATCATGTTATGTTTTCTTCAAAATTATGATACTGACAACATTGCATCCTCTTTTTGCATCAGACCTCGTACTAAAAGACAAAATATTTGTCTATGATCTTGCTGGTCAGCGCATTGGATGGGCTAATTATGACTGTAAGTTTCAAAATGACTACATTGAAGGCACATTGCAAACAACATATGATTCTAGATTCAATTTAGACAAATTTTCCTGAATAAACACTTAAAAGATAATATGAATTAAATTTCTCTCATAAGTTGAAATTAATATGTATAACTTAATTTATATAAATTCTTCTATTTAGTTTCTCCAAAATTTGATTTTAACTTATAATTAATTCATTTTACCTTCTCATTCTCTTTCTCCTATAAGTGCTTATTGAGAATTCCGAGGTATCTTTAGGATAGGAAAGAATCAAAGTCAAGTTTGTGTTGTATATATTTTTTAAGCTACATTATATTCTGATATATTTTTTTCAATATAAATTCATAAATGTAGGTTCATTGCCGGTTAATGTGTCTGCATCAGCCGGTAGGGGAAGAAGTGAATTTGTGGATGCAGGAGAGATAAATGGCAGCACTTGTTCACGTGATGGACCTCACATGTTGATAAAGACACTGTTCCTTGCTCTCTTCATGCACATAACACTATTCTTGTAACATATATGTCGAATTGTAACACATTTTCTGTTTTTTCCTATGTATATTCTCTTGCCGGCATATAATTGGTGCAATCGGCAAGACCACACATTATTACTTTGATTATCGCTTCTTTTTGTTTTTGGTTTTTTTTCTTCTGCACAATAGGGTTGTCTGTTTTAGCTTCAGGTGCTTATTTACCACTTTTTTGGTTAGCCATGTCTCTCAGGGTTTTGTTTTTGGTAGCATTGTAAATTAACATGATTATTGATTGAATCGCAAATACAAGTTATACTTATGCCAGCTTCTTTCAATTTTTCCCAAGTTCTAGAGAAATTAATTTTCCTAGCTGTGTGTTTGGATGAATAATTTTACAAGAATAATTTATTTTTTTTGGTGAATTTAAAATGTCTTGTGGTGAAGTATTTCATTTACAGAGAAAATTTATAAAGAAATTAAAATTATAATAATTTATCAAAATATTTTACTTACATAAAATTGTAAAATTTTAAAAAAGAATAAAGAATTTGAAAATTTTCTTTCTCTTGTTTGTCTCCTCTCGCGCTCTTCTATCTTTCATTTCTCGATGATTGATAAATAAGTTCAAGTATTAATTAAAAACTTGTGAAAATAAAAATTATGCTTTATTAATAATTAATAAAAATATAAATAATTTGATCGGCTATGAAAATTAAAATGTTCCCTTTTTTTTACAAATTATTTTCCTGATAATATTTCTCCTACTAGAATGAGTGAAAGATACAACTTCTAACAATATAGTGATAGATGAATAAGTGACATGAGTTCATCACAGATGACGTGATGCTTGAATAAGTCGAGTGAAGAGACAGAAATTTATACAATAACAGATTTTCACCAAAATTCTGAAAATATATAATTTTGAAGTTCGTATTTTGTACGTGGTTAATATCAAATTCATTGAATTACACTACAAACAACAACTAAGTTCTCTTGCACCAAATTCTATGATTAAAATTTACCAACACTATTTTAATGGTTTGTACTAGAATAGTGTGTAAAGTACAAAGGTAGCATGCTTTCATTTAAAAAAATAAATAATGATAATTGTGAATTTCTGAAACTTGCTACGCATCCCTATATTAATATACCTTTATCTCTCATAATTTTGAGAAGTTTGTGACCAAACTTTTAATTTTTTTTTGCAAATTTTATTATTTCATCAATTAGGTATTTATTATCATTAATTCATCATTAACGTGATACATCAATTATTAACTTAAAATGCTAATTATTAATATGTTGTATCATCAACTTATATTAGTAGTCAACGTTTCACTTTAACAATCAATATATTCTATTAATTAATAATATATCACATCACTAATCAACTAATATTGTTGCAAAACTTTGAAAATTAGATGATAAAAAGTACAATTAAACTTATATTAAATATGTACATTGCAAGCACAATACATGATTTCTTCTCGGAAATACTCTTACGTTGATGTTTTCTGACATTTGATTTTTTTCTAAGCTCAGGTGATAACTTCCTGAATCCTTGTCCCGAAAAGGGGGAAAGGTATCTGCAAAGACACTTCGACGCTCAAGTCAATACTCGGTACAGAACAATAAATATTGTAGTATTAAATAATCATGTCTGTCTTTCTGTCTCATCAATATTGTATTTATAGTGACTTATTTGGGTCTGACAGACCTTTTTAATTAAGGGATTAATAACTTGAGTTTTATACTTTAATCTAGGCTGACATGGACCTCTATTATCTAACCAAAATTAATGTAATGTGGCTTCAATAATAGGGAGTATTTGGCTTATCTTATAGCCGAATACCCTTTCGGGTTATGCATTAGCCGAATTGATACTCGACCTTTAGCCTTCGTGACTTTTGGGTGGTTGCTCGGCTTAGGATGACGTGGCTTCGATAGTGATGACTGTCCGACTTTCCTTGTAGTCGAATACCCTTTCAAGTTGTGCACTGGCCCAAGGGGTATTCCATTCCCCAGTACACATAACATTAAGTTTAAACCAATTCCTATGTGTAGAATATAATCCTCTCTGGCTTATTCCCAGTTGAAATATGGAAAGCCCGAAGTAAATCCCTAAAGAGAAAGAGAGAAGAAAATCAATTGGATTCACGTACAGAAGAGGCAATTGCACATCAATCACAGTACCTGATCATTCCCAAATGCACAATTCCTTTCTTAGGATCTTTATATGATTTATAAAGATGTTGAATGATTTCTTCACGAGCATGAATCAATGCTGGTTCCTCCATCATACTTGTCAGTGTTGAATTTCGCTGACTTACAACCTGCTAAATAGTAAAATACTAATTGCCAGAAAAACACTCATATCACATCACATACAATACATGACAAAGTTACCTGTTTGATATAGTTTTCACTTTCATGAGGACGCTTACAAGTTGCCCTTAAAAGAGCACTTACTTCTTCCTCATTCAATCTCTGTGTATCTCTACCCAGCCACAATCTGACAAGCTTCAATAATAATAATAATAAACAGGTCTTAAATATAACACAAATTAACAATTTGATGTGTATTATAAAGTATAAATAGAGAGAGTGGTGCAGAGATAAACTTCCATAGGCAAATAAATAGGTTTATTGTATTTCTCCTAGTATAATAAATAAATTATATTATGATATAAAATTATTTTTAAATTATTAATATCTTCTTAAAATTTAATTTTGAAATAAAATTTAAAATAATGAATTAAATACATAAATAAATTAAGAAAAAGTATTTTGTTTGTCAATAAGAGTAATTTGAGACTATTGATAAATAATTATTTTAGAATAACTATTAAATTAAATTTAAAATTAATAAGTATACATAGTATGAAAATAAAATGTGGGTGAATAAGAGTGTAACGAACAAACAACTGCAGCATTTAAATATAAAAATTTAAAATATATTACTAACGGTGTAATGATATATATTTTGAGTGAGAGAGATCTTCGCAAGCAACATGGACTTGAAAATGATTGGTGCGAACTTGAATTCTTTGTCCAGCATGCATTACCGAAAACCTGGCCGGTGAGCATGGCAAAAGCTGCATGTGCCATTTTTAGATTTTTTTATATTGAAAAATGCTTTTTATTTTTTAATAATTTTTTTTTAAAAATACTTTCAAACCTAAATATGTTCTTATTGTAGTAAGAGAAAGGTATTGTTGTGAGGAAATTCTAAATATAAATGATTGTTCATTAAGTGAGGGTTGTGACCTTTATGTGGGAAAATGACTTGCATTGTTGTAACTTGTAAAAGACAAAATGAGGTGTAAATTTCCAAAGTTGTAAATATGCATGTGAAAAAAAATTTCTTTGTTTTTTCATTTACAAGGAATATTTTTTTTGTCAAATACCGAAACAATTTTTCTTAGTAGTTTAATAAATATTAAATAGGTGCACATCCATTTTCATTTTGAGTTTTCTACGTTTATAAAAGTTAAGGTAGATTTACTTGAATAAATGGATTCCTTATATTCTATGTGTCTGTGTGCGTGGGCATGTGTATGTGCATGTACGTGTGCATGCGCATGTTTATGTGTCTATGTTTGTATCTGTGTATTTGTGTTTATGTGTTTAGATCAAGTTTACAATTTTTTAAAAACTTAAAAACTATTTGATACTTCATTTTAATAATTCAAATCAACTTATAAAATACCTTATTTGTCAATTTGAATTAATGAAATGAAGTATTAAATAATTTTTATTTTTTTAAAATTTATAGATTTGATCTATACATTAAAACTTATAATTGAACAGTTCAATTGTTAAAATTTAATGTATAATATCAGTTATTGAGTGAAATAAATTTAAGTAGACTTACTCTTAGAGGAAGTGAATTCCTACTCTCTTTATATATATACACTTAAACATACTTCAAAAGTTAAATTAATAGTTCTTGATGTATAGATCAAGTCTGCAAACTTTTAAAGAAATTAAAAATTATTTAATACTTTGTTTCATTAATTCAAATTGACCGATAATCGTGAAAATATTTTATACGTTGATTTGAATTATTTGAATTGAGTATCAAATAATTTTCTAATTTTTTTTTTAAAAATTACAAACATGATCTATATATTAAAAACTTATTCAATGATTATATCGTTAAAATTTAGTATAAAACATAAATTATTTAATAACTTATTCTTGGAATAAGTACATATATATATATATATATATATATATATATATATATGAGGAGGGATATAATAATACCAGTGTAATTTTTACTAAATATTACACCGCTCAATAATTTTAATTAATTGTGAATTTTATAAATCTAATCGTTATATTGAAAATTTATCTCACTTTATATGTGTATATTAAATTTTGTTAAAATTGAACAAGAATTTAAAGGTAATCAAAGTGTTCATATTTTAGTATATTTTGAAATATATATATTATATCAATTTTATTTTATAAGAATAAAGTATCAAATCAACTTGGATTAATATAAAATTTTGTATATATAATCTAAGAGTAAGGGGAGGAATCCGTTTACTCTGTTCAATAATTCATGTTCTACATCAAATTTTAACAATCTAACTGTTGAATTTAAAGTTATTAATGCATAAATTAAATCTATAAATTTTAAAACATTTGAAAATTATTTGATATTTCGTTTCATTAATTCAAGTTAATGTATAAAATAATTTTATGATTATCCGTCAATTTAAATTAATGAAATGAAATATCAAATAATTTTTAAATTTTTTAAAAATCTGCATACCTGATTTATGCATTAAGAACTTTAAATTGAATTATTGGATCGTTGAAATTTGATACAGAACATGACTTATTAAACCAAGTAAATTTAAATAGACTTACTCCTGAAGTAAACGGATCCTCTTTTATATATACTAGAGGGACCGAGATACTTCGTGCCTCTAATAATTATACACAGAAAAATATTAAAAATTATAGAAGATATAATAAATTTTTTTACATTCAAGGGTATAAAGGTCCACTAAAAAGTGAAGACCAAAAGGGTGGTTACTAAAATGTATCCCCTTTATAAAATACTAGAGGGGTTGAGGCATTTTGTGCCTCTAATAATTACACACAGACAAATATTAAAAGTTGCAGATACTTATTTAGAAAGAATATAAGAGTATTTTTTTTATATATATTTTAAAGGGTATAATGGTCTACTAAAAAGTGGAGACCAAAGGAGTGGTTACCAAAATATATCCCCTTTATAATAGTTATATATATATATATATATATATATATATTATTTTTTATTTTTTGGTAAAGATAGGAAAGATTACAAAGATGATCGCAATGAAGATTAAACCTAGATCCTCATGCTTCTAACTATCCCAACCCCTCTCCACCTAACCCTAGGTTAGTCCTAAATCCTAAATCCTAAACCACTAGGCTAACCCTAGTGGTTCATATATATATAATACACACACACAAGAGATTAATAGTCAAGTTATTGTCAAAAGTTATAATGTGAGTGACACGGGTGTCTCTACCAGGGTTTCTAATGTGAGGTTCTCTTTTGCTCTATCGTTTAATCAATAAGAGACAATCCTTTTTCTTAAAGTGCACTGATGGAAGAGGAGGAGCCTCCCAAGTGAAAAGAATGTGGCAAACTCGAGTATTATTAATTCAGAATTTATAAGAGGTATAATTTAGGTCCTGTATATGTCCATGCTGTTTTTGTGGTGATATATCAAAAGGATGCATAAAACTAAGTTTTTCGTCTGATTGATCTTAGAATAGTGAATTTGAGCCTAACTCAACTTTACAAAATTAATTTATAAGATAATGATTATTTTTCACGTATATTCTCTTTAATTGTCTTATCTCTAATTGACGTGAGACTTGAATTTTTCTTAATAGTTGAAGTTCAAATAACAATAGTTCAATCTTAATTAGCACTATATATTTAGAAAGAAAATCTTTATACCGAGTAATTTTTCATGCCCACAAATATTATAGAATCAAACTTATCCTTATATTATTGTTACTATTAGGCTTAATTAATTTAACACTAGAACTATATACAGAGAGAGAGAAGAGGATCCGTTTATTATAAAAGTAAGTTTATCTAGATTTATTTTATTTAATAATTTATGTTATACATCAAATTTTAACAATTTAACCGTTAAATTTAAAGTTTTTAATGCATAAATCAAGATTACAAATTTTAAAAAAATTTAAAAACTATTTGATATTTTTGTTTATTAATTAAAATCAACATATAAAATGATTTTATGATTATCCATCAATTTGAATTAATGAAACAAAGTATCAAATAGTTTCAAATTTTAAAAAAAACTTATAAACTTAATCTATATATTAAATATTTTAAATTTAACTGTCGTTAAAATTTGATATAAAGTTATTAAACGAAATCTAAATAGATTTACTTTTGACATAAATGTATCGCTTCTAATATATGTTAAAAACATTAATGCCCTTGTTTATAAATTAAAGTTTATCACAGTTAACTATCATCTTATGCTTTCTTTAGAAGATTATGATCTTGACAACATTGCCCAAGTCCACTCAAACACTTTTTTTAAGCATATAAATTTTCTTTTTCGCATTACACTAATTTTCTATGACATGTATTTATGTGTAAAATTAAAGTGAATATATAAACAAAGAATATATATATATATATATATATATATATATATATATTGTCATATTAAAGAATATTTTTTGAAATTAATAAATATATAAATCTTATTCTTTAACATAAAACATTCTCAAAAGAGAGTGTGTTAATTGAATGCCATGATGTAACAACTAAAATTTTGTTTTTATTCATTTTAATTTTTTTCGCACTCAATTTCATTAAAATAAATAATATCTTTATTAATCCAACTTATATATAAAAAATATCCGGAAAGTCATTCTCTTCGTTAATTCTTAAATATATTATTCCCATAAATAAATGTTGAGTTGAAATGAAGCCTCCTTAATTGCTATAAAACATAAATCACTGTAAAAAAATTAGATAGTGATCACATCTTTTACATAAGACAAATACTGTCCAAGCTAGATAAGTTCATTGGATAACAATTTTTTCTTTCTAGTATTAAATATAACCAAATTAATATAAAAGTTTATTCGTCTACATTTACATTGATAACCAAATTAATATAAATAACCCCAAATATTCAAAATATAAATTAGAATACGGAAGTTGTTTTTTAAAGAAACAAAAAGCCCATCTGAATAAAGGAAGATTATTCAATATATATGTAACATAGATATTAAATATATAAACATAGATAAATTGCTGTAAAATAAAAAGTAAATTAACATAAGTAAATACCAATAAAATAAAATAAAATTAAAGAAAATAAAAAGCCTTTGATGAATCAATAATCAAATAATTTCACTGAATTTGGAAAGAAAAAAAAAAGATTGTCACAAGAAAGCCTCGATACTACTAGTACGATCCTTTGTCGTAACCGAATGAGTACAGAGAAATGACGAAATGTAAACATTTATTAATTAAATTCCGAAACATAAATTTAGAGCTCAATTTTTTAAATTCGGTTTTAACGTCATATTCATTCATTCAGTATAGTATTACCTAATAACTGCTTCATTGCATAAAAATATACTATTAATAAGTATTTCATTGATTGGTAACTAGGAGAATAGTAACTGTTAAGTAGACATGTAGAAGAGTTCCATTTCTCATTTGATACACATTTGTGAACTATCTACTCAGATTAAACTCACATCCATAATCCAAGCAGCAAAAGTTGCATCAAATTGCTGTAGCAACGAGGACAATATTTGGACCAAGAGCAAACAGTACTTTGGTGTAAGACAAAATTAAAATAGCAAAATGACTATAGGCCCAAAAAAAGATGCGGATCAGATGCTGAATAACACCATGGATTCTACATCAAAAAAGCATGTTTCTTGATAAGCAAAAGCTGCTTCCGCTTCCGCATGCATTCAGCAGAAAAACATAACATCTGCCACGTTGTCCTTGACAGATGGCAATACAACCTGAAAGTTTGCTCTTCTACCTCCAGTTTCAGTTGATGAATCGGCGTCGGATAATTGGCCTTCTATATAGTAACGTGCACGAAATGCAGCCAAGTGCGCGTAGTACGCGGGAGGAACTGCAAATAAAGAATGAATCATTCACCTGAACTTATATACGACAAAGACATGGACAATACAAAAAATAGAATCAAACCTATTGAAACTGATCGGGTGCATCTTGCGTAGCTGAAACATAACATGTAAATGTATTAACTTCAAAAAGCAATAGGAGTAATGACAACAGAAATAAAATAGTAGCGATAACAAAAGCAAAAGCAATAGCATAGGCATAGAAGAAGAATTACGTATAACATAAACTATTTGTAAAATTCTGCAACTCATCTGCGGTGAAATTATTTTCATCATACAACACGTGATAATGAGTCGGACGACTAGTTCCCTGCGAAATATGAATGGAGCAATCGAAAAATGAGGGAAAAAAAAACGACAAACAAAAGTTGATCAATCTTAGCAAGAATGCATAATACTTGAATTCCAGCATGACTATTGAGGTAAAAATCAAACTCCCGAGGGTGGCAAATGGATGTGTCAACAACCGTCCCTTTAAAAATAGAAAAATCAAAAAGAAAATGTTTGAAATCAGTAAAACTGAGAAAGGAGGGGTTAGAGGAGGCAACTTCCCAAATGTGAAACAGCTGAAAGATACATAACCTGGCATTATATTTCCACTTCTGTCTGTCTGATCACGACGTTCGTGTTCAAAAGGAAACAAGCGTGTGTGGTGTCTTTTCTGGACAACCACAAAAGTAACAGGAGGGAAATACTCCGCCTGAAGTGAACCACAAGCCTGAAACAAGAAATTTATCGTTCATCAAGACGGAAAAATAAATGAGAGGAGCAGCAAGGAACTTATTGAAAGTCACAAAGCAAGTACATAGAGGATAAACAAAAAGCAGCAAGTTCGAGGATTTCTTCTTCAGTATGGGGTGCTTGACCATCAGTTATGTTGTTAACTAGATATAAAATACACTGCTATCCTCAAGTAGGAAGCAAACCTACAACGAGTCATACCTTTCTAATAGCATCCATCTCATGAAGCAAAACCTGACTAAATTGGCCCTCGCTTACGCCATCTCTGTAGACAAATTGATAAATTACAGAATAAAATATGTACAAAAAACAAGCAAAAAATGTAAAATTAAAATTAAACCAAATCCAACCTGTAGAATATAATCCTGTCTGGCTTCATGTTAGTTGAACGTCGAAATGCCATAAGTAAATCCCTACAATAAAAGAGGTACCCAAATTAATAGGATTTCTCTTGATAAGTGGCAATAGCACATTAGTACCCAGTACCTGATTATTCCTGAATACACAGCTCCCCTATTCGGATCATGATATGATTTAAAAAGATCTTGAATGATTTCCTCCCGATGTGGCTGGGCAGAAACAACTCCTCTGTACTTGGTAACAAAAGGCCAATCCATGCATCCCACAACCTAAACCAACACATTCAACAATTTAACAGATTAAAAGTGGTGCACAATATAATGCTTGCATAGAGGGCTGAAAAGTGAGCTTACTGCAGCAATAGAAGGGCTAGAGTCTTCCCCTGGCTGTGGATGTGTTACATCCGCACCCAAGATCAATGTTGCTTTATCAGACACGTGAGGGATTTGCTTTGCAATTGCATCATTCAGCACTGTGTTACTACCACCAACCTGAATAATCAACGATGACAGGTTTACAATTTAGTAGAAACCAAATCAATAAGCGAAACTGAGGGTTATTCATTGGATAACTTCAACCTTAACATTTATCTTGAGGGCCACATTTTCAAGATATTGTTTGTTCGACGACTTTACAATTTGTCTTGGCTGACAACACTGAGATACTATTCCTAGTTCAGTTTCACAAATACGCTTTATTTTTCCTGCCAATACAAAAAAAGTTTAGAAATGATATAACCAAATCAGAGTGTTCAATTTGAATTGAGAAGACACTCACCATAAGACCCCTTTACATCAGGTAAAATTATTATCAACAATTGGAGTCTCCCGTTTGTGTTGGCTAATTTTGACATACACTGCTTATTCAAATTCACAAGTACATTCTCAACCTGATTAGGTTGACCATGGGTTACACGCAGTAAAGGCGTCCGATTGAATTGCTAGCATACAAATAAAGAAAAGTGTCAACATTCAAGCCAGAACATAATCACACTTAACAAATAGTATACAGATAAAGAAAAGTGTCAACATTGCAGCCAGAATATAATCACACTAACAAATAGTACCAACTAACGTCATACCATTCCCTTGGTTGTGCACATCACAGCCAGTTGATCACAAAATTTACCGGCCATGTCATCACTGATATTCATTGACAAGTTAAGGCAAGTCCAATATTGCACATTACCACCTTTTATCATTTTCTACAAAATATAAGGGAAATAATTAACTGTTGTTCAGTAAAAAGTTATTAAAATAAAAAGAACTTATTGGGATACAACGAAATTAATTTACTTTAATAATTCACTGCATTTACATCAACTATAAAACAAAACAGTTGGATGAAGCCATTAACCAAACCATTAGCATCAATCACAACTTCCGCAACATAAAATAACTCCAACATAAACTTTAAGAACTAAAATTGAATTTGAGAGAACATCATTATAATATTAGTTAGCATCACATTAACTTCAAATCATAAAGGAGACACTATTACTATTTTCTAAAGGAAACCATACTCTATAAGTCATTCAAGGAGAACACAACAGCATTTTTACAACATTTGCAATAGTTTCTACAAGAGCACCTTATCGATCATATTCCACTGACCCATCCTGGGTTCAACACGAGATTCTTTGCCACTTTGATGATATAAAAGCTACAGTAACAAAAGAAAATTAGATATTAAATAAAATAATAAACTCTGCTAAATTATGTCAAGCATAAACCTGAGAATACCATTGGAGGTGTCAAAACACGAGCATCAATCAATGCAGGATCCCCCCTCACTTGAATTCCAAATTGACGCACAATTTGGTCAGCATTGAAATTGCTCTGCCTCACAACCTGCCAAATAGCAAAATGCTGATAGTGTGAAAAACATTCCTCACATCACATAAATGAATAAATTAATAAAGGTACCTGCTTGATATTGTTCTCCCTCTCACGAGGTCGTTGACAGGTTGCCTTTAAAAGAGCAGATACCTGCTCCTCATTCAATCTCTTGGTGTATCTCTGCCCAGCCACAATATGACAAACCTACAATAAAAAAAATAAAAGTGATACTAAACCTCACAAGTCTCAACTTCAAGTTAATGTGTATCATATAAATATAGACTGGTGCAGAGATAAACCTCCATAGGCAAATAAATTGGTTTAGTGTCACTGCCAGCTTGCAGAGCAGGAAGACTCAAATACTGAAACATAATATTGTATTGCTCGTGGAAGTATTCGACAACAGATTTTTTTGTTCCATTGCCATCAAGAAACCTAAGAAATACCAAATAACAAAATAAATAGATATATTAAGCACATTATAAACCTGTGCATTCTACATGCAATCATGTATAAGAATAGAGAACAATAGAAATTAATTAAGACTGAAATACCAAAAAACATTATCCTTTCAAAATATGATGTCCCCATTCAATTGCAAGAAAGAAAAAAAAATCACAATTAGCTCACGTTAAGTCTTTGAGTGATTCTTTGGTGACGCCGGCAACTCTATACCGTCTAATATTCTGACCATGATTACATTCTACCCTGACTCCTTTCAAAGATTTCCTTATCTGCAAACAATCAAGCAAAAGAAAACAATGATTTCCAAGAATAAATGCTCTATATAAATATAGAGAACAATTAAAATTAAGAACTCCAAAGTGAAGGTAACCACATAATCTCTAAGTCCAAGGTTAATTTATTCTTTCCAACCATAATAATATTCACAAAAATCAATACCAGGCAAGCATAAGCAAAGCGATAAGCAAAGCGTAGTGCAACATGAAAAACTAACATCTTAAAACTAAACACAAATACCTTAACACGGGCTTGATCCGACAAAGGCCTTCTAATATCAAAATTAAAATGCTTGTTAATGAAATGAATCACAGGAATCGGCTCATAATATGCATTCGCGGACACATCTGCAAGACAAGAATGATCGCTATTAAAACTGGAATCTAACTCCAATGTGTATCAACAATAATGCATAGATGTAGAAGCAACCAATATTTAGAGACAGCCCCATTTGGGTTGGGCGGAGACTTTGGTAATATCCTCTCCAGTACTCTGTACCACTGCCTAGAGTACCAGTTCGCCCCAAAGAAGGGTGGTAAAACAACCTCCCCACCACATTGTACCTACATTGAAGAAATAAAATATTCCATTTCCATGTCAGTAAAAGACGAAAAGCTAGAAATCCAAATTCAACCAAACAACCCAAAAAAAAAAAATTCAAAAAAACCCTACATTTCGGTTGGAGTTGCCCGCAGAACAACGTCCAGAGCTTGAATAGTTTCATATGGACAGTCGAGCTGACGTCTCTTGAGAAACTGGTTAAGGTGATGAACGTCGGTCTTGGAGGCAAACCGGATTGTAACTTTGTACTCACGGACGCGCTTTGTCCTATGCCATGAGAAATAAATGATCAGGCATAATTAATTAATTATAAGAACGATTATTAGTGTTGTCTTGGATTATTTTTTCACAGATAAAAACGGTTATGAAACTTAAAAAGACTCATTTAAAGCTTATTATGGGATGGAGGAGTAATAATATGAGTAACAAAAGCTTAAGAAAACTACTTAGCAGGAGCAGTGGAAGAGCCACTTTCATCGTCGTCTTCCAACTTGATCATAAAATCCTTGGACTCGAAAGGAAAGGGTCCTGCAGAAAATAGACTCTTTCGCCCATCATACGCTGGTATGCTATTTCCCAACATAGACTCCCGGTGCATTTGAATCAGTAAACTAATAACCTTCCTGCACACGTACTTGGAGATGATCTCAGGTTTGAAGGATACCTAACCACACAATCAAACGCCTCAGACACTTTTACTCAAACCAACATTCAAAACAAGAAGAAAAAAAATCATCCATGAGTAAACCTCGGTTTACTAACATCATAATGATAAAGATCCCGCTCAGCGACTTGAACTTGAAAGTGATTCGCACGAACTTGAATTCTCCGTCCCGCTTTGCCGTAGCCCGGCCGGTCAGGGATCCGGTAAGCCCTCGCCGACGACGGCGCCGCCAGAGTCAGCTGCTTCTCCACCACGGAACTCAGCGACTCCACCGCCGTGGACGATGACGCGGCAGTAGCAGGAGCCGTCGACGGTGGAGCATTCACCGGAGAAGGTGCCGCGGCGGAGCGAGGCGGAGGAGGCGCGGTTACCGCTGGCGCATTCGGTGATGGAGGAGGAGGAGGAGCGGCGGCGGCGGCGGCGACGGTAGGATTTTGTCCGCGGCCGCGTCCTCTCCCGGCATGCGACGGCACCGGAGACGGTTGAGATTGCTTAGAGGCACCGCTGCGACGAGACATTGTTGCGATGATGAGTGAGACTGAGAGGAAATGAAAATGATTATGCGGTTTGCGTGGGAGAAGAGAAGTTAGTAGTGGCGCTTTAAGTAGGAAACGAATTCAGTGCTTGCATTGCAGGGAAGGTAACCGTTCGGAATCACAAGAAAGAGAGAAGACCATCAGGTCGAATAAGAATTTCAAAAGCCCCACACGTTTTTTATTACAACTAATCATATTTTTCATATTATTTTATTTTATTAAATAAATAATTAACATAATACTATTAAAAAATATAATTAAATCGTAAAATATTTTTACTATGGTAATATATAAATAATTAACTCTTTACTAAATTTTTGAAAAAAATGTTAAATCTTTTAAATACAGATAAGGTTATATATAAAAAAATGATGGTGTCAACACATAATTTGAGATGAGAGATGAGAGCATTTAAGTTTTATCTTGTCTTCACCAAATAAAAAAAGTGATAAATTAATGTAAGAAAAGTTTTGATCACAATGAAAATAATAAAAAAGAAATGGATAATAAGGGGGAAAAAACCTTTAATAATAAAAAAAATAACATTAAGATTGCTAGAGTGACGTAACGTAGAGCTTATGCCCACATGCTGGCGTTGCTGAAAAGCCGTACTCGCCCGGGGAACTGAAAGCGTCTCTGAGAAGTTTGTGGGTTATACATGTTTCGGCAATGCAGCGCGAGTAACGTTCAAACTTGCAAAAGTGGCGCGTGAAAAGAGTTAAACGACCAACTACGACATGAATCATCGTGCGTAGTAGACGGCGCAGCAGGGCACAGACGTGATTCTGAGATTCTCCAACTTCGAAATAGATCCATCGTGTCTTCTCCAGTAATTCATTACTACTTATAAATAGTGGACCCTACACACCCTTTTTATATACATATATTTATATTTATATTTATATTTATATTTATAGTATTATTATTATTGTTTTTAATTATATGACTTTTTATATTTAAACAATTTTATTTTTTGTCTATTATTTAACACCAAATTCACTTAAAATGAAATTGGTTTTGTATATTATTTTCCAATAAGAAATAGGATCCGGATTCGGTGGCTTAATTACGCGTTCCGTACAATACCATGGAATTTCGTGGGAAACGAATTTTCTTCATCCGGTTCCTTCGCTTTATGCTTTCCTCTCCGTATCCGACGTGTCTGAACGAATCATAAAAAGAGTAAGGGAGTGATGCATACTAAGTAGTAACATTTATTATTTTATTAAAAGTGAAAATGGCTTTTTTAAAGAAAACTATATTTTCTTTTTAGAAAAAAAAATATATATACAGGAGAAGTGTAGTATTTTATAGTAGATAAGCAACGAGGAATAGTTTTACAAGATTATTAAATATTTAGAATGTTGAGTGGCTTTGTGAAACCAGTGTGATATTTTAAGATTAGAATAAGAATAAAACGTTGAATTGGGTCCTGTGAGTTAGGCGTCCGTACACTCGTGTGCTTGCGAGGAAATTAACGCACAGACACAATACCAAAAAAAAAAGAAAAACCAAAAAAACGCACAGACACCGACACGTGGTTGGTTCTAGAAAGTTCGGAGAAGGTGATGAGAAAGTGGTGTTCATCTTCATCAGTCATCATCACGCGACGCCTTTTTTTCTTTTGACCCTTTTTTCCTGTTTGCAAAAGAGAAAGTGAGACGAACAATTAGATTGAGATGAAAATCATGGAATAATAAAAAGAAGAAGATAAATGACAGGGAGTTAATAGCCATAATTTCTATTTATTCCATTGTTAATTTGTTACTTTCTTTTTACCTTCCCCCTTCTAATGAGTTAATTGACTTTATGCTTGTTTAGATTTCATATTCATTTTGGGATACAATAAGTTAGAATTTAACTTTCTGCATACCATTAAATTTTATAACAATTTTGGTGTCGTTTTTATTATTTTAAAAAATAAAATTAAGGGATCATTTTTAATACATTGTTTTTTAATTAAATTTGGTATTTCACTTTAGTAATTAAACTCGATATACTCGATATTTAATGTTGGTATTTATTACACGACTTATCAGAATAAAACTGCAATTCTCATGAAAGGGTAACAAGACACTCATAAGTTCTGTTTTAAAAACATTTGTATAAGAAGTTATATCAGAATAAATATTTGGATTAACTATTTTTTTCTTGAAATATTAGTTCCTATATTTAATTATTAAGTTCAAAAAATTAAAATGATAGCGAGTTTGAAACTCAGAAGGGATTCATTAGGGTGCATGGACAAAGAAGAAAAAGAAGGGACTCATTAGGTAGGTTATTTGTAATCTCACAAAAAAAAGTTAAAAAGAAGTTAATAATTTTCATTATATGAATTGTGTCTTACTTTAATCTACATTTTTTCTAAAAAAAATAACAAGAAATCATTAAAAAAAAAATTTAAACTAACTACATATGTCATTATAAAAAAAATACATATACCTATAATATGTAAAGTTGATAACTTATTTTTATGTATATAATTTTTAAGACTATTTTGTTATTGTAACTACTTTCAAATTACTTTATCCCACTATATTTTTATTCAAATTTTCTTTTACTTCCTATAAATTTCTAATTAATCAGTAGTTTTATTTTTAAAAATAAAAAAATAAAAAATAAAAGAAGTATGTAATGTCTCTTTCTCACTAGTATGTATGAGTGGACATAAAATTGCAACCCACCCGAACCTGCAAAAATAGAATGAATTTTTATGTAATGAGTTTGAGTGGATACTAGGCAAGTTAGGTTTAACATTTTTGACCTTGTTAAAACCCAACATGCATGTAATTAATTTAAATTAAACAAAAATTACACTTGTTTTCTTGTTTGTTAAATAATAATGATATTATATAACTTAAAATTTATTATAATTAAAACAAAGCACTACAAATTAAATAGTCGATGTAAGATTTGAAACTTATAATTAAAATACTAAGTTGCTATGTCTTTTTAATTATAAAAATTGAAAATAAAAAAACTAGATGTTTGGTCTTTGGACCATAAGAATTAAAAAATAAAGTATAAAATTATTTAATTATATAATTATGATATATTTTATTTTGAAAACTTAAAAAATTATGTAAAGTAAAATGATTTTGAAAATAATATTGGTCATGTATATTAAAATGACCTAACCTAATTCAAATTTGTTTAATTTAAAATTCACATAACCTAAAATAATGTACAAACAAAAATGGTTTTAATATTATAATGTGGAGTTTAGTTTAGATTATAAATTTTAGACTTTAAATCTCTCATTACTCTATCTTATTTGTAAGTAATACTTCCTAATAAATACAAACAAAGAAAAATAATACACATGTTATAAAGGATTTTATATAAATTAAGCACGTTAAAACATACAAAGTAATAGAATCATAGGCTATGAAAGTAGATCATAACATTAAAGTTTTGCTTAAGTCACAAGGTAAGAATTCATAAGATGTTGAGGAAACATTAGGCTTTTTAACATGTTAAGGCAGTATCAACATTTATGTATGTTACCAATCCAAACTGCCATAGGGCACATGTCAAAGTGCCAAACTATGAGAAAAATTAGTCACGACAAAATTGCGACTAATGTGGCCATGACATTGATGACAAGTTGACAACCATTATGAACCTAGCTCACACAATTTTAGAACCAGGGTTATGCTTGTGGCTTAGACAAGTCAACCAATTTCTTGATCAAGTGCAAAAATGCTCTATCTATATGTAGTTTTTTTAGGACGTACGTTAATTAATGGCATATACGGAAATTTTTTTCAAAATACCTCCATTAGTTTATTAAGTACAAGAGCACAAGTATATTTCAAGGAAACTAATCGTGTTTGAATAGAGTAAAATTATTTTATTCTTTTAAGAAATTTGATACAACTTCTTATTTAAATTTAAAATTATTGGTTAAATCAAACTTGTGTTAGTTAATTTACATTGTCACTGATAAAATAGTTTAATTATATTACCTTTAGTTTTTTTTAATATTTTTTTGGGTGTATATATTGTCTTTTGTTTTAACTACAAGTAACAAATTGAATTTTTCTTTATCCTAATTATAAGTAACAATCATTAATTTTTAAAGTCACTCTATGAAAAAATTTCTTTAATATCCTTAATTACTTGTTAATTTTAATTTTTATATATTTATTTATAACTAATATTAAATATAATAACCGTCTAAAACAAAAGATATCTTTAAAATGAAATTAAAATTTATGACATAATTAATTAAAAATAATTCACATAATTAATTTTCTTAATCTTGATTATTTATCTTATATTATTTATAATTAGAACCGGTAAGACTATATATCTTAAACAATTTGCAATGTGAAAATGTATTACTTTTTCATTAAGTGGGGGAGTATCTCATTCAATGAGAATATGGAATATTGACATGATTTTGTTTTTAATTTTAGGAATCAAAATGGCGGCAAGACAATTCGATCTTAAGAACTATTTTGATTCCAACCACTAGATTGTATGATTCGAGTTGAAGGATAATATTTTTTTTTTAAGAAAAAAAAAGTGTCAACCATAAAAATATATCGATTTTATTATAACTGAGAGAAAGAAAGTTATTTTGTTTCTCTTTATTTTTTTTTTAAATAAAATAAAGAGAGGGAACAAAGGATAAAAAAAAAAATGGGAATGTGCAGTTAATTGTATAGGAAGAGCCAGGAAGTTAAATAATAAAAGAAACTGTAATTCAGCAAGACAATTACTTAATAAAAAGATAAAAAAAAAAAAGAAAAAAAAGTGTCTAACAAAAAGTGTAAATCAAAATGGGATACCCATTATAATATTTATAAATTATAAAAAACTAACTAACTAAACATTTCAGTACAACCAAACCACAAACATGTCTTGGAGGTTATAATCAATCAAATCATATAATCTTAAAAATAGTAGCTGAGTCGAAGCTGGAAAGAGACTCAGTTAAATTAAATAGCGACCAAGGTTGTTATTAGTTCTACTCCGTTGGTTGCATGTGGTAGTCTCTTTCCATATCACTGTCTCATTTTTGTCCAAGGTTGTGCGTATAAACTAAGCTTGTAGTGTTAGACAAGTTGATCAAGGGCTATAAATAAAACCTTTGGGCTATAATGCATGACATTAAATTAGCTCATGGTAAGGTGT